CATATGAAAAATAAAAAACATTTCATTTTACCACGGGTTTTCAACTATTTTTATAATATCTGCGATAAGTTTGCTTTATTATTAATATATATATATATATATATATATATATATATATATATATACACCACACATAAACCACAATCAAACGTTATCCAACTAGTCTAAAAAAAACTAAGTATTAAAATATATATAAAAAAATAAGAATTTTACTAAAATGAAAAAACCATTTGGTTCGGGGGGGCTAATGCCCCTTTAGCCCACCCCTAAGTCCGCCTATGATAACAGATACATGTTTTAAGCATATTATTGTGAACAAGTACAATGCTTTTACAAAGATATTCGTATTACTACCTACTAGGTATTACAGATTCGCATCGAAACGTTTTTTTTTTTTTAAAGGGATTTTGTCACTTTCAGTTGTACCTAATAATATTCCCATAGACCCGTGACAAAACACCATACCATTGGCCATTGAAGGTATTAAGGTTTTTGCTGCAGTGGCCGATTGAGGATCACAATATTAAAACTATATACTGGTCGACGTAATGGTAATATAACAATAACATAGAAGAGCCGATTGGAAAATGTAATTTTAATTTATATTAACTATATCTGTATAATGACCATGATAAATTAACGAAGGTACTAAAATTAAAATAAATTCATTAGTCATTACTCGTTATCTATCTCGTTAAGGTACGGTGGCCGTACAAACGAAATGGTTGTCAAGTGCCAGACAACTAGTGTCAATATTAAAAACATAAATAGATAAATAGTAGTCGTAGTATCTTTAATCACGGTAATCGTAAACAAATGTCACACTATTTAGGTTCTAACGAAATGGACAAATTTCGCCACCCGAATATGCCGGGCAATCGGACGACGAGTCGTCTGACGTAACGGCCCAGCCCGTGCGGCGCCAGGCGGCCGCGTTGCCTTCAGACGCAGACGAACCGGGCGACGCCGGCGCAGCAGCTGCAAGTCCAAGTGCCGCGACGAAGGGTCGTCGGACGACAGTGTCAGCGTGACGTACTCGCCCACCGACAGCGCACGTCGATACAGCAAGGACGCGGGGGGCGAGGGGCCAAACGCCAGCGACGCGTGCCGGCGCAGACGCTCGTGTTGAAAGCGCCGCCGGAGCTGCAAGCGGCAACGCCGCAGCTGCAAAGTCGGCAACGCCGCAGCAGCGTGAAAAAGTGCAACGACTCCGAGGGCGAAGACGAAACCAGCCCGTCGTCCGCTTACGAACGCTGATGTTATGCTTGTGATATTTGAACATTCAAACTGATGTGGTCGTCGGTTGAAAACAAATAAATTCCAAATAATTTTTAACAAGTAATTCCAAACGATTATTATCCTCTTGACGCGTCAAACTAGCCGTAGTTTTTACTTCCCAGTATAGAGCGTATTATTTAAAGCTAAGATACAGGCAACACGTATAGTCTCGGATAATTATCATTGAATTGGTTTTTTCTACAAAACGAGAGCAACAGTGTACATTTTACAAATTACTTATCATTCCAATTATAGGTGGTACATCACAAAAAACTGTGCACGCAGCAGACAAGCCGTGTTATATGCGCCCTATAACATGTATAGCGTTCACTGTTAATAAATAACTTCTTAGTGTAACTTCCAATCATTACGTCCGAAAGTGAAATTTACTAGCTCAATAGTCCCATCATTAAATATGCAAAAAACGTATATAATTAAAAACACTCGGTTGCCCCTACTAGTCTATATTTAAAATTGATATGTTAAACGTCTTCCGGTAGATAAGTATGCAGATCAAATACCGTGTTTTATATGAGGAAAAGAAACTAAAAATAATAATTGCAAAATCTATTATCAACAATCAAGTTTTATTTTTGTTTCAACAGATAGTATTTTTGAAACAAAATTGTAATTATACTATTGTTACTTGTTAACAAGGGGGTATGATCTTGTCGTTTTTATTGTATAAATAAGACAAAATAAATGAATGGAACGTAATTAGCATCAAAACGCTGTTTTCGAGAAACTATTCGGTAACTCCCAATATTATATGAAAAGGGTTCGTTAGATAGTATCTAGACATTTTAATAATCGTATTAATTAGTGCCAGAGTTAGTTTTTAGCTCCTAAATTAATTAAATGTCCTAAATAATAAATAACATAGTATACCCAACGGATGATAATTCATTTATTAAACACTTACAAGTCCCATAATTTCTTAAATTGTCGTCTTCAAGTAAATAACATTATATTCATCTAGTTATAAATTTCAATAAAATAATTGTAAGATCAACACTAAATTAAAATATATAAAAATAAAAAGTGTTTAAAAAATAAGTACACTGTCCATTTACAGTAAGTATGTTATCGATTACGATATCGATAAGTTAAATATGATCTCATGAAGAAGCATTAATGTTTCTACAGTTCTTAATATTTTACCAGGTTATTGTAATTATTACCAATTAATAGTTCGTGTCAATATATTTTGCTAAGTTATCAATTTAAATACATGGTGAATGGTGATCAACTTATAGTGAACCATTGAACACCTCATTGGGTTTAATTAATAATTTAATTTTTTTTTCATTAAGTTTTTATACAATGTAATCTCAACTTCCTCTCAACTTCGTTTATTTGATAACAACTTTTGAAACTTTAAGTAACTGAAGGGTAACGCACACATTTTATATTTGTTTTAAATTAAGAATAATGTACTAAATATTTTGACTGGTCGATAACCAATTTTGGAACTATTTTTAAAGTTATAAGAGTTTAAAAGTTAGGATGGGAGTGAAAGTGCATGCAGATAAAAATAATACTACAATCCATCTTTCCTCCTGCCCTAAACTTGACACTTCAATAACATCAAAAATAGTTATCCAAAACTGGTTATCGACCAGTCAACATTTTTAGTGCATTATTTTCAATTTAAATAGTTAATGAAATCTATGCGTTACCATTTAAGTTTCAAAAGTTGCTATTAAAACAACTTTGTTGGGAAGAGGTGAAAACAAAAAAAAAAATGGTAAAAATTGTGTAAGAAACTATGAAAAGAAAAAATTTAATTTCTTGAAATAAATATTTATTTTCCATACATTACATTTATTTTTAAATTATTTATTACTTAAAGATTAAGTAAATATAAATAAAATAATAAAATGTATTGTAATATTTTTCAAAACAATGAAAATGATGTGTTATGAAAAAAAATGTTTTCTAAAAAAAACTATTACTTTTTTTTTAGACGTATGAAGTCCGGAAATCACACGTTTTGCAGCAAATCGAAACATGTAAACCTCTAAAATGTGATAAATATGATGTTATAATTTTATGATCGCTTTTCATTTCTGAACTTGTATCAACCCAACTCTGTCCCTAATGTTAACGGTTCTTACATGGACTTCATATTTTCCAATTAGAATTTAATCGGTCGTTACCTTATCAGATTTATTTGGTACCATTAGACTCTTACAATCCGGCATTGTTAACTCAATTAGTGTAAAATAAACCCATCAACACGTCTGTCCTTCGTCGTAGTACTATATATCTTTAATTACGGTAATCATAAACAAATGGCACACTATTTAGGTTCTAACGATTGTTCGAGTTTGTGTGACATTAATATTGCGCTTGATTTTAAGTATCATAAATATTATAAGTATAAAATAAGTAAGCGACAGTAAGTGAAGATAAATAATGTTGTTTTCTCTTATGTTACCACCTTGCAATGTTCGATCGGTAGTTGCTTCTGATCTTGGAATTGATATCTGGAAGCGACGCCAAATAGTTATTTTGTGTGTATCCAAACTGATGCAACAATTAAAATCAGTTAACCCAGAAACACGTTACACGGACTTTTATATTAACATTTTTTAAAAATTTACTTTTAAAAGTGTTTTAACTTTGATAAGGAACTGAGAATATGTGCATCACCTTTTTCAAATCACTTTTACCATAAAGTAAATTTTAATTATTTTGTTTAATTAAAATTATATAGCTTAACAAATTGTACTACCGAAAATCTTAGTATCATTGTCTGTGTTTATCTGATATTTACTAATCTATTAGAATCAGATAATAAGTCGAAAGTTAAAATAAAAATACTTCAAATGCTTACCAAACAATACGCATGGATTTGCCAGAATCCATCGTAACAGAGACCTAATAGATGTACAAGTTTAGTCAAACGAATTGTTTAATTGTAATGGTAGAAATTCAGTTAATATGCAATAAAAAAATGATTGGAAAAAACATATATTTTTAAGGTTTAGTACACATATGATATTACAAAAACAAATGTATAAAAAAAAAACAACATTTGAAAGTGGAAAATATGTGTTAATATATTTGTATAATCATTCACGTTCTTACAAATAAGTGCAAAAAAAAAAACAAATACTAATACTTTAAAAAAAATTCACAAAAACTTTACGTTATGTCCATATGCAGAAAATGGTTAAAAAAACCTTTAAATTTTATATACTTTAAATGCATTTTGTTATTTCTTATGCTGTAAATTTAATTTTTTAAATAAAATGATAAAATAAAACAAGAAAAGTAGATAAATTGTAGTAATGTTTAAATTTAGTAAATTTTCATTTAATAAAGATTGTTTATTGATACTGAGGTGATATAATATCACGGCACGTCGTGACCTACAGTCCATTTATATATGATTATTATTATATTATGTGTAATAATATTATTTTGCTATCAAAACAATCTAAGTCTAACGTCAGTTTATATTAATTCTACACCGACGTATCGCAAAAACTAGGTTGTACTATTGGTCATCGTAACCGGTTAGTAAGACAAGATATTAAATTTTTTAATATTATTAGTGTTTTACCAACGATAAACGAGTATTAATTATTCGAATTATTCAAAGACCAGTTGGTCAAATATCCAATTTCATTCCATTTACCGGTGACTTGTATGCAATGTCGCGTCGAGTGGAGTAGACTCTTACATTTAAAAAATATATACACAAAGAAGGGGATCAGTATGTACAGCTTTGTTAACATGGGTAGCACAAAATAAAAAATGGCTGTTAGTGTCGTTTTCTGATTGTTCCATGCGCACATTGCGTCGATTACAAAGTTGCTTGAATTGGATACCTCAATAAATTGGCCATCAATCATCCATATAACTACAAACAATCGTTATCGTTAAAAGCGTTAAATATTATTATATTAAATTTTATGAACTCCGATCGATTCGAGGTTCAACTATAGCGTGTCGTCGTTCAAGATGCAACAGCAGCTCATATCTGATTTCAAGTTGGCCACACTGTTTTATTTCAATTTACGAGGGAAATCCAGGGCTTATTTTATACCTGTACACTTAAAAAAGGTTAATACTAAAATCAATGTAGTGGATTTTTCTATACATGAGTGTGTATAAATATAATTTTAGGTTAAATGACAAGATAGTGGACTCTATGAGAAAATATTTTATTACTTTAAGACCTGTCCTCTGTGCTTTAATCTACTCTGCAGGCAATCGACTGACGGGCTCGGAATTATCATAAAGACAATAGATAACGCTTTAATCGAATAATCATCATAACGTCATAGAATGGTAATATTGGTAATTGAAACGGACTTTTTTTTAATCTACTGTCAAGTTTAGAAAAATGAGCTATGAGGTTGCATCTTAAGCGACGGTATGTACAAAAATCATCTCTAGACAGATGTCGTTATTTTAATTATTTTTTTCACGAAAGACGACGATAGTAGTTATAATTCATGACCATCAAGATAAGCTGCTGATTATTTAATGTATTTTTTGTTTTTCATGACTAATGTGCTTACTCAGTATTTCCAAAAAAGTCCAAAGGTGGCCGTAACTGAATTTGAGCCCTATTGCCATGAGGATGCTGATGTACAACAAGTAGAATAAAAAGTGTAGATGTCCCATTTTGATCGATCGCACGTAAGCTGAAAGACGAAAAGACCTATTAAAACTAATTAAGCAAAAATAAATAAATGACAAATGTATTTTTTATTAAAAAGTATAGGTGACTTTCGTGTACATAATTAGTAGTCAATTTGGTTGCAAATATAGGTACATCATATTATGTGTTTAGACAAAAGTAGGTACAGGTATATACCGGGGGATTATTTTAACGCCCTACAAAATGTTTAGCAAGTTTTTTTTAATTAAAAAGTTAATAGAACATATACGTTACCATTAAGTTTCAAAAGTTGTTATAAAAATAATTAGTTTGAGAAGGGGTTAAGAACCTAAAAACTCGTTGTTTCAAAAGATGATAAGACTCGAGAAAAAACATAAAAATTTAAATATGGTCAAATATTGTAATACAGCATAAACAAACATGTTTTGAAAAACGACAACATATCAATTATTTTAAGTGAAAACTGGTGTAGTGCGTTAAGAAATCACAGGGTATTGTTTGGAAAGAGAGTGTTACATATTTTGGAAGTTAAATTTTTGTCCTACTATGTCCCTATTATAACATGTGCTATATTTACTAGGTAGGAAGCAGGAAAACAGACTTCCGGTCATGTAAACCAAATTTCGATTTTTTCATGCCTGGTTTGATATGTCGACTGATTTTATTTGTTGACAACGATGTATAATAAATATATTACATTCTGGTATTTACTTAGTTCCTATATTATATCACGTATTTTAAGCTTATGTTGAAACTTTTTTTTTTTACCTATCTACCATTTACACTGAGTTAACGAAGGGATACCAGTAGTATTTTTTTTATACTATAATATAAAAATATAGTATTAATAATATAGTAATAACCGTCAGTATTATCATTAGCAAATTAAACACAAAGACAACACACCACAAGGTACAGCACAATACACAACAATCAGCTGTAGACATAACAATGGTTATGACTTTCCCAATCTATTGATATCTCGTATGTGCATTTCTGTCCAGCCCTTAGCCCACAAATTCATTCCGAAATTTATGGTAAAATTTACACGCGTTTAATGGGATTGCGGTGTTTTGTGTATAGTATACACGCCCCGGTAAGCGCTCGCCATTTTTTTTACTTAGCTTCGCGCCACTACCGTGTCGCTGGATTAAGTAAAAAAATACGTCTAACGCCGCTCACGACTATTCGGTTGAAATATTTTGTTAAAATAACAACGATAACTCACTCGGATAAGTTGAACGATTAGGCCTTGAACAATTTTCTTTGAGTTTTTTCTGGACGATTGCCGGCCGAAGGACGTCTTATTCGTGTAAGGGTAGCTGCAAAACTGCTAGAGCGGCATATCCAGGGTAAACTACACATCCAGCGTTTTGTCCAGGCGCCGAAAGCGACGGTAGCGCTGTGCGTCATCAAAACATAAATCAATTCAGATGGGTCAAAGTTATTTCGACATTATTTTAAACGATCAATATTGTTTTTGCGGGCTGAGGCGTATAATATTTCACCGTGCTAATTACATTATCACTTTCTGCAATCATCCGGTTCTTTCTTTGCCAATTTATTCGCACAACCTAAATTATGTCGTTCATACATTTCGCCTCTTAGCATTTTATACTATTTACATGGTTCCTTGTAACATTCCTACACTATACGTGTTCTAACGTTTAGTTTTCCTTATAATAATATTATACTATAAAGCTGAACTCGACCGATAACTGTTATCTGAGTAGAATGTTCCACAAAACCAAACGCTTGGATTATTGCGTAGGAAAAATCTTGAAAAGTTTAAATGATAAAATATACACGAATAGTTTGTGCTCACTTGTGGGTCATCACCATAATAGTTATACATTTCCAAGTGTATGATAATATAATAAATATTTACAAAGTATAAAAATAAAACAGAAGGTAACACGTATGCAATGATTTATTCAGTTTTTATATGTTTCGATATTAATTTTTGGACACTTCAGTATGAATCGTAAAAACACATTTAATTCTAGCTTAAAAGTTAAGAAGGTAGGTTTCACAATAGTTTATTATGTATGTTGTTATTCCTGATATTATTTTTTTGTATTACAATCTTAGTAAATTTCTATAAACGACATTATTCACAATTATTTATTTTTATTAATTAAACGTTTTTATTTAACCAAAAAAAATAGATACTATTTGTACACTTTATTTCTAATTGTTCCAAAAAATAATTTTTACTACTAATCAGTGAAGTAGTAAATTATTAAAAAAAAAAAAAACTTACAATATTTAGGTTTTTTTAAGAGTTGTTGCAATATGTGGACAAAGCGAATATCATAATTTGTAAAAATAAATCAACAAAACAAAAACATATTTCTATTATGATTTAATGATATTTTTTATGATTATCTACATGTTTTTACATGCTTTTCTTTAGTTCGCTAACACGTACGTACGTTTGTACGGGTATTTTTCAAATCTTGCAAAATTAATTTTACCCACTTTCCGATGTTGTAGAGGGCTAAAACTTAGCTCAGACACTCATCTTGGATGACAATACAATATCACGTAATCATATTGGGACTCGGACATCTAGGTCGCCTTACACAGGGTCAAATGTTGGGGTCATTTCACTAAAATTTCATGTTTTTTCCAAATCATCCAAAATTAATTTAGTAAACTATTCAGCAATCATTAAATACCTTTAATAGAACTAAAAACTAAAAATATAAATTTAAAAAAACTTTTTTAAAAACATGCTTTCCTAAAAAAAAAAAATAGTAAAAAGTAAACTAAAAAGTAAAAAATTATTTTATTACAAGAACAATTTACCATTCAATTGTAGCATATTTTATTTAAAATGTCAATTACTTTGAAAACAACCGAAAATTAACTACAATTTTAAATAATGCTAAACATCTTTAATTTTTGACTAAAAAGATTTACATTTAAAAGCGTGGGCCCTATTCAACAAAGTCCCTGATAAATTTATCAGATAATGTTTTATATTGTAAGTCTTTTTGTAATTTAAATTTTATTATTTATTTTGTTTTGACCACTTAAGTTCATTAAATAATTTTGTCCGGCTTTTTCATATAAATACTTTCTCATATGCGCTGTTTGTATTGTAGTATTTTCATAATATTTTTTTTAGGTTATATCTATATCTTTGAAATTACTAATAATATTAGTGTTTGTAATAATTATTCATAATTTATCAAATTACTTAAGATGGATATTTGATTTAATGTAATATAACCAAAATCCGAATCATTCGTTGTCCAACTTTGACCAAAAAAAAACTCACTTTCAGTTCTTTAATCTTAAAACAGCGCCAAAATAATTTTAAAACACTTTCACAACCTTTCTCCTGGGGGGAGGGAGATTATTAAAATATTTTCGAACACATACAATTTCGTTACAAATTAGTACATTATTTTTTAACTACCATCAATTAATATTCATTAATCTAGTATTAAGTTTTAAGCAGAAAAACATGCCGATCTAAAGACAAAGTAATAAATAAAATTGTCAATGATTGAATTTCTTTTTTTTTTTGTGCACTTCATTTTTAGTAAAATATTCTTAATTGAAAAGAGTTAATAAAATATCCACGTTACCATTTAAAAGTTTATATAAAAATAGTTAGTTTGGGTGGGGTTAAAACATAAAAACTTGTGAGATATTGAGATCACATTGTTTAAAAGCATTATGCAAAAAAAAAATTCAATTACTAATTAAATCCTTTGAGATTTAATAGTGAGATTCAAAAGCGGCTCATGATAAAAAATCACACTGTATAATATCTAATATAAAAACGCATGAAAATAATAGGATAACATAAGAAAATATAATTTTCACAGGACATAAGACGGCAAACGTTTTTCTTTGTACATCTAATTACATATTTTAGTTTGAGGTAATTTCGTTTGATATATTTCAAGAATAAGTCAATATAACAACGTGACATTATGACATGAATGGCAAATTTAACAAAGGAACGGATTATTCATGTGCACAATGTTATAAATAATCACAGTTACAATATTATAAACAAATAGTTCCAATTAACTTACAGACGTTAAACCATTATAATTTTATTTATTTATTAAATCTATGAAAAAAAATAACATTGAATAACTTTGAGGAACGCTATAATATAAAATGTACGTATACTCTGTACACCTTATGTGATAGTTACAAAGATTACCGCAAATACCAAAATTGTCGGTAATTACCTTATTTCAGATACATACCTATTTTCGGTAAATAGTGTATTTTTGGTAAATACCGTAATTACTGGTAATATTTAAATACCGTAATACCGGTATTCAAATATCAAATACCGCCAGTCCTACTCTATGGCAGCAACTTATTCACCTAAAATTACCTTAATTTATAGAATTAATAATATATTTAACATTTTGACTAATTGTGTTCAAAAAATATTTCAAATATTGGACAATAATTTCATGAAACGCTAATAAAAATTGTTTATTTCTAACAAAATGTTTTATCAAAAAAAAAATATACATTTAAACGAACGTTATTAAAATAAGAACAAGTTTAAACTAAATGTTTTAAAATCACCTACACTCCTTAAGCACGGTTAAATACACATAGGTAAGAGCATCGTTAAAAGGAGTCTAATAACTACCGTTATACAATAGTTTAATTATGATCCTTACTTATAATTTAATAAATTATTAGTATTCACCTGACGACATACGACCAATATTAGAGCTGCATATAATATAAGGGTGGTTGGGAAGTATTGGTGCAGACTTGTTGGGTTGGTGACCGCTTGCACAGCAGTATCATCAAAATGGAAATGACCAAATCCTTTAAAATTGGCTATGCCCAAGGATATAACGCAAAATGTAAGGTGTACAAAAATGTAATAGAAATTATTTAAACCTGAATAAAATAAAAGTGTTCACCCCACCCTCAGAATGCTTTCCTCAGTATAGTTAATATAACAAAATGCTATTGACACTATACTCGAGAACTTGCAAAGTGAGGAATGAAAGTTTGACTATTCGCATAATATATTAGAACACGGTTACGTGGAATCCACGAACACCGTTAAAATATTCTTTTGACTCGGATGACATTTCATAGGAATAATAAGAATAAAATGTTACTTACGAAGTCGTCCGAACAGGAATTATGCAAAGATAGGATATTGGTTAATACTGATTGATAAGAATGAACAATAAAATTTTAAGTATCAAGCATGGTTAAATACTGAAGTATCGAACACCGTTAAAATACAATCTTATTTTATTAGTTCAAAAGATGATTTTAATAAATGAATCCCGGGTATTTCTGCAACATTTCTCCATGCTACCCATAAAGCCATCCCAAGAGGTACTATCCATTTTTTACCATATATTTTTTACTGCTCAAGTGTTTATATTAATCGTAAGATACTTATTTATATTGCACATATGGTATTAAAGCATTATATAACAATGAACCTTGGTAAATTGATTAATATTTAAAAACTTTGGGATTTAAGGTTGATACTATGTGCACACCATCTAGTGTTTAGCTAAGCGAAGAGTGATCACCCGGGCCAAGCCCAAGAGAGGGCGACCCAACATAACAATTTGTTTATAATAATAAATAATAGAAATAAATATATTAAACTAACACTTTAACCGTTGACCATTTGGCCGTAATACTGTTGGCTGGCACATACACCTTAACCAGTAACTACTTGATTATTGCATACTGAACAAGTTTTTTTTTTACATGCTCAAAAATATTACGGCCACATACATAGTCAGAGCACAATGTGTATTTGTTGTCAACAAAAACTTTTTATCGTTTTAACAAGTTGGTTTAAAACCTTTCCCTCTTCTTAAAAAAAAAACCAACACGTTCATCAAACACGTAATATATATTGTAATAGGCTCGTCAATTATACAGACCAAGAAATTCAAGGTGTATTACCAAATATCGAATATTTTATTCTAATCGAGTTTACCAAGTACGTTTTTTTATAGGTTCATAATAAGCAGGACCGTTAATCGGCGCTTTATAATATAACGATTGCCGCATAACAATAAATGTGTACTATCACAAAAGTAACAGACTTGGCCCGTCATCGACAGTTTAAAATTAATACCGACAACTCGAATTACCAAACATCTGAATATTTTATTCTAAACGACAATGCGAAAAAATTGAATTTGCATAAAAACTCAAACGCAACAACGCCGACGGCGAGGGCCAGCGAAATGACTCGTCACTCGAGTATCAATTCGAGAGAATGATAAGTGACCGCTGGTGAATAATGAAT